TTGAAGAAAGGGATGGGGAGAGGAATGCTCAAATATTTTAATGGTTTTTGCTCATATTACATATATTTGGTGAAATTTGATATTTTTTTCCAAAAACAGAGGGTCGGAGAAAGTCGGCCCGGCGCCTAAGACTAGGTTCCCGACTCTAAGATTCTACTCGGGTAACTGTTTTGTCTAGGTATTGCAACAGCTGAAATAAGATCCCAGCTTATGATTTCCAATCCAATTCTTGAATCTCCAACTGTAGTTGTTTCTCTTTTTGTACTTGAGGATCATGGGATAGTGACACAGGTAAGCAGGAGCACAGGTGTTTTTCTATGATCATATGGCATCAGCAAAGCATTCCAAACTATTGATGAGCTCTTTTTCGATGAACTAATTTCTTACCACACACTTTTTGTCTTTTTTATGGTCCAAGTAGAAGCCCAAAAAAATTATTTTAAATTTTAAACAACTTTGGAAACAGTTTCTGGATAAAATCTTTATTATGATTTATACTGAAAAATACATATCCGAGCATGCATGTTAAATAAAACTTCATTTTTTCTCAAAATTTTGCAGATTTTTCTGTAAACATTGGTAGATTTATAAAATAATAATATCAACAGTTTTACCAGGCATAATTTTTCACCTTTAAGTGTCCATAAACCTTCCCTGTGGTCTTATAAGCTTCCAAAATGAACATGGGCCTGATGGGTTCAGTCATTTTAACGTTTACTGGATAAAGACAGACACACAAGCCAAAATAATATTTAGATGGATTACCCACAAAAGATTATTAGATTAACTCTGTATAATATTTCAGGGGTGTATATTTTCCTAAAAAATCATTAACCCCCCCCCCCCCCCCTTCTAGAAAGAAATGTATTTCCCCCAGAAGTTATAAATAGATTAGAAACTAAAATTTTAGGGGTCTTTTGCTGAAAGGGGAAAATAAACGATTTTTCAGGAAAAATAATAAATTTTTTGGGTAAAAAGTATTAATAAAAATGAAAAACTTGCCTTTTGATGTAACATTTTTCTTTTTGACTCCCCAAGTCAACAAAAATCATTCTCCCTGGGGGGTTAAATTCTGGAAAATATACACCCCTGCAATATTTGTATCTAGGATATTAGCCCTATGTCTGATGAATATGTAAAGTTGATTGGTTTGAAAGTTCCTCATTATTTTCTACTCAGGTTAGTATATCATAGTTTATTAAAGGGACTGTTAGCGTAATTTCTAGTGACCCTCCATGCAAACATTGCAATGCTTGAGTTTACAATCATACCCTTAAAACCTTGGCTAATCAAGTATGTTCTCCCCAGTCAAAATTTGAGGCAAATCGGCCAATGGGTTTCTGAGTTATAATTGTATATCCAAACAAACAAACAGATATACTACTTTAAATAGAAATTATATGTTTATTGGACCACCTTGTATATATAATTGTAAAACAATAGGCAGGCGTCCATGTTTAACAGACTAATAGTCTGGTTGGTTAATCTGGTAATTGGTTCATTGGTTATGTTTCGTTGGTTGATAGGTTCTTTGATGATCAATAGATCGTTGGCCCTCAACATTGACACAATAAAAATTATATTTCAAACCTGTAATAGAATGCAGGTATAATAAAATTAAATGTCAATGTATTAATGTAGTTGAATATTCAATAGTATAAATTATTAGTTTTCCGTGTCGAAGTAAAAAGGCGTGATTAAGGATTTGAGGGTTTGATGGAATAGTTTAAAACATTTGCAAACAAACACTTTTGAAAATATAAACTTGGATTTTTTAGGTGGAATTTATTATGGATTGCAAAGTTATTTATGGATTTGATCTTTCACTTAGTTAAGCGTTTCAATGTTTTGATTTTCCTTTGTCAAGGTAAAGGAGTAGAGTAGGAAAAATTGTTTGGTTTGGATTTGGGGCTGGTAAAGACGACATGACGTATTAATGGGTGGGGGTTAGGAGATAGGTTTACGGTCAACAATAATCTGAGTCTGATAGATTAGCAGAACCGTATTTATATTTGATAAGTAACACACAAATATATTTATAATTTATAAATATTTTACAGGAATCCAAACAGTTTCTATTCGCCTGTTGAAAAGAAGATTATCAAAGATTTTGCGGGGCTGGAAAAAAGTGATAAAAAGACAAAGGTTGTACTCTACAGTGGTCACCAGAGAACTGCGAAATTATGGTCGTTCTTATATTTTCTTAAGAAAGTACTTCAGAAATAATCCAAATAAAAACAATCCTTTCCGATATTTCGTAATAAAATGACAGAAAGAAGACGACTGTTATTTCTATGCTTTCTGGCTAGCACTGTATTTCAAATAAACTTTATTAATAACCAGCTTGGAAACCCAGCTTTGGCTGGAAATTTAGATTTTCCTGTAAGCGTTAACTTACTCAACTAAGAATATTCCCGTGAATCTACAGAGTTCCCTACCTCAAATCTGAGGCAAATCGGTCCAGGGATTCACTAGTCATGATCTGAAAACCAGAGATAATACTATTTTATATATATATATATATAGATTATATATTTATTATAATTTTAGGATGCGATAGTGAATTTCTCAATGTATCTAAGTATCGGAAATATGGACGAAGCCTTTAAGGAATGGAGAAATTAATAAAAAAAACTGTTTGTTAATGGTTCAGAAATCTTTAAGTTTGTATTCGATTTAAAAAATTCAAAGGGCAACGCCGGGTCCTTTAGCGTTGGATTAACGGATTATAACTTTAACGAAAAGTTGTCCAGGCCGTGTGGAAAGTAGTTAAAGAAGATTGGTTTTCAACTCTACAGAAAAATAACCAGCTAATATTGAAATGTAGCGAAACATTTAATGATATATTTATACTATGACTAAAAGATATCTCTGAAAAGGCAATTACTTTACAAGTGTCTAAAAAACTACTTACATTTAATTTTTTACTGCTTATGATGTCATAAACATCCCACACATTTCTTAGTTTCTAAAATAAATCAAATGTATAGCGAGGAATGTTTCATGATTTACAAATATTTATTTTTATTAAACATACGAATATCAAATTGGAGTTTCTTTTAAATCTAATTACAAAAACATTTCATTGAATAATAGAAAAAGAATTTTATTTCAAATATAACACATCAAATATTTTAAGAACATGAATATTTTCTTTAGTTTAATCATAAAAGTTAGAAGAAATGAAAAAAGTTTTACAGTGCTGTCTTTTGCATGCTCATTTATAAGTTGTTTGATAACTGTTCTGCTTGATTATTCATCGACAAAAAAATATTAATTCCAAAAAATGCAAAACGTTACTTTTAACACAAATATACTAGGTAATTTATGTTTTTTCATAGATTAATAACCATACAGATGGAACACTAGATGTAGTAGCTTTTCAAGATTCAGGGGTTTTTCGTTCACAATCACATTTAGTTTACATTACCGCTTAGGCTTTAATCACAGAAATAATTTACAAAGCGACGTTACAAAAATTCCTTTGCCGTAGTTTACCCTTCTGCAGTATAAAATATATATTGAAAAACACATTACTTTTTTTAAACGATAAAAAATCTATTATAATTTGGATTTTAGAAAAGAATGAAAATTAATTTATCCTGCCTGGTTAGGCAATTAAAGCAATAAAATCTGAGAAGGTGTGGGAGAATATGGCCAGAATGTGCGTTAAGGTAAGCTTTTTGTTCATGTCATGTCTGCTAGTGTCATTTTTGCTAGTGTCATATGACCTATTGTCATCTCTGGTAGTGTCCTTTTTTGCTAGCTTTTTCTTGCTAGTGACACTAAAGTCTTTTTTAACGTCATTTAAGCTTTTTTTTTGTCATTTCTGCTGGAGTCATTTTAATGGTATTATTTTTGCTTGTGCCATTTTCGTAGTGTCCATTTTTGCTAATTCTTTTTTTGCTAGTGTCAAGGTGTGCCATGTGCCAGTGTTCTTTCTGCTAAATGGTCTTTTTTAGCATCTTTTTTTTGCCATATAAGTTTGTCGTACATCATTCATATTTTAAAAATTTGTATTACATATTTTTAATAACATACCTTAACTTTTTTAGCAGTAAAACTTGACCTCCTTATTATTTTGTCTTTTGCAAAGGAATTTGCCTCTCCTGAAAAAAATGTAGTAAAGTGTAAGAATCAATATAGTTTTTAACCAATATATTTTTAGACAAAACGACTTGATGTCGCCGCTATTTGTCTTGGAAACATGGGTCATGCGGCAGGAGCAAGGTTTTTTTTTAACTTTTAAGATTTTCAAAAACAACTAAAAACTAATATTTCTTTTATTTTTGTGTTTTGGGGTCTCGAATGCTTTTTACTAAACGATTTCTTAACTTTTAGAACCTTAAGTATTTGAGTTTGAGAATAAAAGAATAGTGACAGCAGTGGAAACAATTATTATGAGAATATTTAAAAATAGAGTAAATACAGTGAAACCCTTAATAACGAATACATCGAAAGAATTCATCAAATGTCGTATTCTTGACTTTCTGATAATGGAATGTTGCAGATATTTAGTTTTTTAATTAAATGATTATATGGAACTCTTTAAAACTGTTCCCGCATATTCATGGCTATTTATTTATTTTTGCAAATACTAAAATTTACGTAATATAGTATAAAACTCATTGAAAAATTGTCAAGACGACATTTGATAAATTCTTCCGATGTATTCCTTATTAAGGGTTTTACTGTATCTTTTATTTATTTCTTAAATTCTTCACTAAAATACAGTAAGGCTAGAAAATTTCGGATTTTTTTGTCTTTATTGTGTAAATTTTTATTTATTAAATCGATTTTTGTCTTTATTGTGTAAATTTTTATTTATTAAATCGATTTTTGTCTTTATTGTGTAAATTTTTATTTATTAANAGTGTTTGCAGTTTAATTATTAACTGCCATAAAAAGTCCAGCTGGAGTTTATTGGATACCGTAAATTGGTTTCTTCCTTTGCCAAATCATAAAATAAGCCTATAAATTACTATATTAAAGATTGAAGACTTAATTTAATCTTGTGGTCATCATATTTTTAGTGTTTCAGGTCGTCTTTACAGTCTCATACTTTGTATACAGGGCTGTACGACAAGCTGTAAAGAGTAAGGAGAGTCCTGAAGTACAGGCGGCCATACTTGCAGTACACCTAGGCATGATAGAGGAGGCAGAACATATACTTGTTGGTAAATATATACTTGCAGTACACCTCAGTTCTGTGGGTTAATGAGTGGTACTGGCCTCCCTATGGTGTACTGGGGGTACTGGGGGACACAGGCAGTACAGGGGGGTACTGTGGGATACTATATGGGGTACTGAGGGTAAATCCTGGGTACCCGCCACACCCCGGTTTCTTCTATTTGAAACCAAAGTGTTTTGGTCTATAATTCAACAATCTTTTACCTAATAGATTTGTTTATTCTATACTTTTTAATTCAAAATGCATATGCCGACAAATAAAGTATCAAAGACAAAAGGATAAAAAATTATGTTTAATGGGTCAAATTGTGATTGATAGTCGCAGCTTTCTGGAATATAGACAGAACCGTTAAATCCACGTGGCCAGTATGCCCAGTTATCCCAGTACCCGCAGTGCCCTGCAGGGCAAAATAGTACTGAATGGAACTAAAGGGTACTAGGGTTCACAGACGGCTGAGTATAAGGTGTTTTTTACACTTTATCTTATTTTTGCATGTGTTTTGGGGTCATTTTTGCATTTATGTCTGGGTCAAAACTTGACATATGAGCAAGTGTAAGTGCATTAGAATAAATAAGTTTGAAAACATTTTCTCTTCCTACACTATGCCAAATTTTTATCCCGAATGAAAAATGATAAAAGAAAGCTGAAGGCACATCACTAATATACAATAAGATGTAACATTGACAATATTTCGCAAACAGTTCCTTTAAGAAAATTAAGATGATATTTCAGAAGTACATTTATTGCTTCTAGATATAAATATTACATGATAAATAACGAGTGTATAAAAGGAGAGGTAGGTCTTCTCTGGTTCCAGAATCCGCAAATACTGATTTGCAGATTTCATAATCCTCGTTCGAGGATTTCTTCCCCTACAATATACAATTTCCCCCCTAGGTTGTCAAAGATAGGATATTTTGAACAAGTTATATTAAGTTTATTGACAATTAAACAAAGATATTTTATGTTGTTAAAAAGCAATAACATATATAGTCTTATTAATTAGAATAACATATATTACCCTTAGATGTCGTCTTTTCATGATTAATGAGTGTTTCGTTCACTATAATCCTGAGGCAGAAGCCCAAATGAGTTACGCGTAGTCGGCGTAGAGCAGACTCTCTCAACATGAAAGAGAGCCTGATCTATACCGACTAAGCGTAACTCCTTTAGTTTTATAAGTAGTATAATGGGTCTCTACGTTGCACCATTGATAATTTGTCACGTTCTATTGACTATTTTAACTTCTGAGTCTAAAAGTCGTCTTTCTATTCCTCAGTTTTATGGGTTTCATGCATGCTATTTTCCTTTTAGGTTGTCAAAGGTATGATATTTTGAACAAGTTGTATCAAGACAGTGGACAGTGGAATAAAGCTCTAGATATTTGTGAGAATAATGATAGAATTCATCTCCGAAATACATACTACAACTTTGCTAAGGTACACGGTACACCAACATACAATTCTTTGAAAGAAACTCTAGACGTTTTTTCTTGTACCCTTTCATTTGTAGAGTGGCGTGTTCGATTCACGACATTATTTTTACTATATTTATGCTGGGAAGACATTTGAATTCAAAACGACGATTTCTTCCTAATTGGTGAAGACCAACGAGGTTATAGTGTATAGAGTGATGATTTAGGCTAATCTATTACTAATTGTAGGCCATAAACTATACCGATAGCGTACTGCATATTTTTTTATTATAAGGAGATTCTGTCCTAACCTATAGTATATTAATATTAGTAAACAGTTGTAAGTGTACAGTACAGCTAACTGAGCACACAGGTAGGGAACTATCATCCCCCTGGTTAAGATGCAGGGTTTAGCTTGAAATTACGTCTACAGTTCCTTTAACGACTGTTTCCAACCTTTAGTTATTGATCAATATGAAACAACCACGTGCTATTTATTCTATATTATTTAAAGAAAAACCCAACAATAACAAAAACTTTTTAAAGAAACAAATAAGATTTTTTCTTTGAAAAGAGACAATGTTGTATTGACTGAACTGTTTTAAGTTTTAGGTGACCCTTTGTTTAGACATTTGTAGAAAAACCACAAATCAAAATAATCATTTTTCAAAAACAAAAATACCGAAATCTATTTTAAACTTGAGAACAAAAAGCTCTTAAGGCAGTGTAGTGAATCTGCCATGTCATCAAATTGTTTAAATTAATTGTCTTAGCATTTTCTTCAAGTTTTCATGCTGTAATGATAAATTTAATAAAATAGATACAGGGGAAATTTTGACTTACTTTGACTGTAACTCCTTTAATCAGAGAAATAAAGGTTTTATAGTAATTATATTCATCATTTAGCACCTGGAGAACATGGGGGATTTAAGCGGAGCTATTCCAATGTTTGAACGTTCAGAAACTCACAGGTACGACCTTGAGATCTCTTAGCTCCTCAAGTCTTGATGTATCCGGTTATTTGAAACATTTTGTTCTTCTCAATAGTTTTCTATTTAGAGGAGTTATGATTGAAAACCTATCAGATTTCAACCGGCCTTACGTGAAATTTACTTTAGTTAAACGTGTTATATAATATACTAGCTGAACGGCCAGGCGTTGCCCTTGAAAAAAATTAGAACATTTTTTTAAAAGTAAATATATTGAATAAATAAAAAAATTTTTAAAAATAATTTCGGCCACCCATGATTGTCCACAAAAATTTCAGTCCAATCGGTCCAGCCGTTTGGCCAGCTATAGACAACTCATATATATACAGGGTGTCCCACGAAACATGACAATAGCAAGACGACTTGAAAGTCGTCTTTGATATTTGTATTTATTTGTGACATTTAGTCTTCTATCTACTTTAACATGTATGATTCTTGAAACAATTATCACATAATTTTCCTAGCCCTGGCATTTCCAAAAAGTGGTCTACGTTTTTTGTGCTTTCAATATTACCGGAGATATAAAGAGTTTGGTTCAGATTTCAATTTTGTTAAATAAAAGCAAACTTGTCGAAATCTGAACGAAATTCTTCATATCTCGGGCAATATTGAAAGCACAAAAAAGGCAGACCACATTTTGGAAATGGCAGGACTAGGGGAATTTTGTGATTATTATCTCTAGAAATTTACTTCTAAGATTAGGTTGACAAATAAACGCAGCAAATTATATCAAAAATCAAGACGACATTCAAGTCGTCCTGCATACTGTCATGTTTCGTGGGACACCCTGTATACGGATGTCTTGTTTTATTATATAGATTTACTCATTATTCTAAGAAATTGTAATATGACAATTATTATTTTATGTTAATGAGAGTAAAGGGACTGTTATTGATTTTAGATTTGAAGTTCCCCGATTGTTGTTTGATGATATGCATATGCTGGAGGAGTACGTCATGAAATCCTCGGACCCCGCCATCAGGCGCTGGTGGGCCCAGTACATGGAGTCTACAGGTAACCTGCAGATAAGATTGCTGGAAATATGGTTATTAGAAACGCAGGTACCAAAAAAACGGTTATTTGTTTGTATTTATAAACATTCAAAAGTGTGGCAAGGGGGGGATAGAAAATGCAGAAAGTAAAGATTAAGAAAGAAAGAAATTTAAATTCTAAGTTAAAATTTAAGAATGTTTGTGCGTCTTACAATAAACCTCTTCAGAAAGCCCACCTTAATTTTATAAAATGTCTCATAAAGTTATTTTCTATTCTTAACAGATTATTGACGCACCTAACGCATATTTGTATCTAAATAAATTTCAATATGTCTAGTTATTACTTCTTTTTGTTATATTTATCAGCTAAATATAACTATCTATTTTTTGTTTTTAAATTGAATATTTACATATTTGCAATTTTTCAAAAAAAACATACTTCAGAGTATAGTACAAATCCAAAAAAGATCTATATTTACAGCCTAGTCAAGTGTTCTCAAAAGAGCATAATAATAGATTAAAGGGAGTGTTCGCGATAAATTAAAGAGGGTCTAAGCCTGAATTTATATGGAATCGAACAGTATTGCTTGTTTTGATCTGAAGTTTTAGAAAAGTGTAAAAAGCTTTGTCGCTTACAGCGCAGCCTCGCAGGATACAGTAAAATCCGAATTTAATGAATTTGATCCGCATCTTAAATCCGCCAAAAACGGGTTTAAATTGAGCGCCGGCTTAAATCTTGAAGCAATTAATGCGATTTATTTGAGCCGCGGCTTAAATTTTAGCCGCTGCTAAAATTCTTCAAATTCGACCTCAGACGTGGGACCCATTTTTGGCAGTTTCACTATTTGGGGTTTGGGCTAAATAAATTTCATCCGAGCTATAATATAACACAACCTTATACACAGGTGAGATGGAGACTGCACTGCACTTCTACACACTTGCCAAGGATTATCTATCCTTGGTTAGGGTCTATTGCTACTGCGATAATCTGGATAAGGTCAGAAACAATTGATAAAACGTTTTCCGAACACCAATTCATATCAATTTTAGGAATTTTTGATCGAATTTTCTTTCCAACTTTCTTTTATTAATAATAGAAAATATGTTTATGTTTGTTATAAAAAAAACTATACTTTTGAGAAACTGCACAACAATCATAATACATGCTGTCATATAAAGTCCGTGCAATAAGCGCAAAATTTGTATTGTCCTTTTGATACACTGGAAAATACTTTTTTATATTGCCGATATCATTTTTTGTTGAAAAGATAAATTTTGAATGTTTAACAGATAAGTCGCCAAGTTACAAATCAAGTTGTTCTACTTTTCAAGATATTAATCATTCAAAATACCGAATAATTGTTCAAATGTCATTTTAGAATTATAAGAAATATTTTTTTTTAATTGACAACCAATTATAAGATCTCCATTCTTTTTTAGATTTGGTGTCTACATTGAAAAACTGAATACACTATGATTCATCCCTTTTAAAATTCCTTAAACATGAGCTTATTTAAATAATTTCAAGTTTTTATCCTCTTCAGATTCATGAAAAATAAACTTTTATTGCTAAATTATTTAATTAATTGTTTAGGCATCTGAAATAGCAAGCCAGACTGGAGACAAGGCTGCGTGCTACCACCTCGCCAGACAATATGAAAATATTGATAATATTAATGAGGTATACAGTGGTCGCTAATTATATTAATACAATGAAAACAACTTTTAAAAGGAAATGTTCGCGAAAAGTTAAAGGAGGTATAGGCTTCTGGCGAAAAATAAGCGCTTTAGATCACTACTAATCTTACTTTTATCTGTTGCGTCTTTGAAGAGAAAATTGTTAAAACGACTCATGCTGAAAATGTAGCGTCCATACAAATTCAGAAAGATGCAATCCAACTCGGCTTGTAAAAAATCGATTTAATTTCAAACAAATCATTCAGATATTACAACCAATAATCATAGATAATTTTTCGACGCATTCGTATATACTTGTATTTCATATTATTTCTTTTTTTTTATGATCAGATAGTTACTTTTCATATTTTCCAGGAATGTTCAAAAATCCAGCGCGAGCAAAATATTATTTAAAAAAAAAAACTAGAATATTATGAAATAATAACTATATGCGAATGCATCGACAAATAATCGATGACTTCTGTAATAATATCCGAATTATTTGTTTGATTCCTAACAAGCATTTTTTAAATAACTAGTTTCAAGTTAACAAAAAGAAGCTGTTATTTACAGCTATGTGAAAGATTTGTAGAAATTAAAACAAAAATAATAAGTGTTCTTCATTTTATTAATATATACAGCAACAACTAAATCTGTCAGATTGTCAGATTAATATAAGTGACTAGTAATTATTCTTTATTTTCTGCAATTGTTTCAACTGTTCAATTTTTGTGTTTTCCTTGCTTGTCTTTACATATTATATTATTTGAAATCTTGACAAATCCCGAAGTTGGTTCCAGCTTTAAGTCAATCAAAATATATTTCACCATTGACTTTTAGAAAAAACATTATAATAATCTATTTTTTCCTAATTTAAAAAAAAAAAAATTTAATTAAAAAAAATTTTAATTGATTTTAAAATTTTTGAAAATTAATATTTTTTGATATAATTATTTCAAAGAAAAAAAACATGAAATTTAACTATTTCAAATTGTCAACTACAACTATTTCTGCTTGTTTTTACTGTAGAAATCCACTAATTGCTTTATTTAGATAATTCCCATTATGTTTAGGCCATACATTTCTTTACTCGAGCCCAGGCCTATAGCAATGCAATAAGGATCTGTAAAGAACAAGGCCTAGATGACCAGGTATCAATTTGATAAAATCTTTTAAAAAATTTCTTTCAAATTTGATTTTAAAAAGAGTTAAAGATATAATGATAAAGACTTGATTATTTATTATTTTTTTAATCCTATGTTTTTAGAATTGGGTTACAATCAGTTTTGATAAAATCTGAAAATAATGATTTGTTTAAAAGTTTGATCTCTAAAAAAAGTTGATTCACAAATAATAAATGTCGTAAAATCCCTTCAAAGCCTTTCGGCCTTTTTTTGGAATTTGGTAAACCAGATTTGAAAAAATCTTTGAAAAATGATTTGTTCAAGATTTAAAATTATAAAAAAATTGATCAAGGTAGGTTTAAATAAGCCTTAAATAATCCTCCGAAGCCCTGATGATTTATCCGTTTAGAGCCTTTTTTTAATCCTAATTTTTGGAACTAGGTAAACCAGACCTGGTTTTCAATTTAATAAAATTTTTATAAGACGATTTGTTCAAAATTTTGGTTTCTAAAAAAGGATGATTTAGAGCCGCGATTCAAATCTGGCAAAACCCGGATTTAATTGAGCGCTGGCTTAAATCTTGAAATCTTGAAAATAATTTTAAGTGGAACAAACCATATTTGAATTGCGTCTCAAATATAAACCGCGGCTCAAATTCTTTATATTCGGCCTCAGAAATGAAAAAATGCTTTTTTTAAAACCCTTATTTTTGAAATTGGGTAAACAAAATCTCATTTTCAGAGATGATCCAGGACGTCATAATATGTTCGATACTTTGTTTAAAAAAGCAATAATCATTCCCGATTCACAGCGATACCCTTCAAACCTACAAAACTGTTGAAAGTGTTTGATTCTGACAGTTTCCCCCAATGTTTTGAAGCTCAAAATTTCCAGGGCTCTTAAAACATAAATCAAAAAGAGAAGACAATGTAAGAGCAATGCATTCTTGATCAGTTTTAACTTTTATGTACATCGTTGTGAATTGGAACGGAAAACCACTTAAAATTACATGTACAGTCCCTTTAATATTACTTGTACAGTCCCTTTAATATTACTTGTACAGTCCCTTTAATATTACGTGTACAGTCCCTTTAATATTACGTGCACAGTCCCTTTAAGTTCAATACTTTTAGGTTTGGAACTTGGCTTTGCTTGCATCTCCGACTGAGCAGCTGGATGCTGCTCGATATTTCGAGACTACAGATCATAAACAGTTTGATAAAGCTGTTATTCTTTACAAAAAGGAAGAAAAATAAACTTAAATATTTTAGATTTATCCAAATATTTGCTCGTTTTTTATACTTTAATATTTGAAACCTGTTGTCGCAAACCTTTAAGTTTTAAAACTACAGTTTTTTTATCAAAAATAACATAAATACTGTAATCAGTTTGTCAGTTATTTTGGTCTGCCCAGTTCAAAGTAAATTTGATTTTAAAAACTTCCACAAATAAAGACCTTAAATGACAATAACAATAGTAAATAATAGTTTTTCGAATATTTTTGAAAATTTAATGCCGCTAAGGAGGAGTAAATATGCGTTAGGCAGATATTTAATTTTAAAAATGTATATTTGGCTTCATAAGGTGATGATACATTTTTTACAATCTGTTCCTTACAAAGTTCTATTAAAACATGTCAAAGAGCTATTATGTGTTTGCCATGTTAAAAATAATAAAATGTTTATTTTTATTACAATTAGGCGGGATTTTTGGGTAAAGCACTAGATTTAGCATTCTCGACGAACCAACACAATGCGCTGCAATTCATTTCTGGAAACCTGAACGCCAACACGGATCCAGTTCTGCTTAATAAAACAGCAGACTTCTTCCTGCAAGGTAGGGACCAAAAATTACAGAGATAGAGCAAAAGAGAAAGTCAAAATTAAACAGCATTTCTGTTACAAGATTGTGACTTCGTAGCTTTTTGAGGATCGCAATATTATTAAGTTACTATATCAGAAATTCAAACCATTTTTATTCTTCTCCACATCTCAATAAAATAAGATTAGGTATGGTTGAAAACAAAAAGTTGTATAACATTGCTATCTTACGTGCATTTATTTCTTTTTTAATTATTAAATTTTTTTAATTTTAATACTTTTATAAAAATAAATTTGTGAACATCGATTGGCAATGTTACGTAGATTTTTTAATGCCTTAACATAAAAATAGCACCATTCTAAAGGCTGTCTAATCAGAGCGGTTTTTAAGACACACTGTACTCTAGGTGGACAGTATGATAGAGCAGTGGAGATGTATGCTGCAAGTAAGAACTATAAGAAAGCTCTGGAGCTATGTGTTGACCGGAACATCTCAGTAACTGAAGAAATGGCCGAAAGACTTTCTATTCCTAAGGATGAAGGTAAAATGGTTAAATCTGTAAACGCAATTTTTAAAGACCTTTAACTTTTAAAGTGGCATGTCTACTGACTATTTTAAAGTTGCATGTCTAATGACTATTTTAAAATGGCATTTGTAATGACTATTATAAAGTGGCATGTCTACTGACTATTTTAAAGTGGCATGTCTAATGACTATTTTAAAATGGCATTTGTAATGACTATTATAAAGTGGCATGTCTACTGACTATTTTAAAGTGGCATGTCTACTGACTATTTTAAAGTGGCATGTCTACTGACTATTTTAAAGTGGCATGTCTATTGACTTTTTAAAGTGGCATGTCTACTGACTATTTTAAAGTGGCATATCTACTGACTATTTTAAAGTGGCATGTCTACTGACTATTTTAAAGTGGCATGTCTATTGACTATTTCAAAGTGGCATGTATACTGACTATTTTAAAGTGGCATGTCTAATACTAGCTATTTTAAAGTGGCATGTCTATTGACTATTTTAAAGTGGCATGTCTACTGACTATTTTAAAGTGGCATGTCTATTGACTATTTTAAAGTGGCATGTCTACTGACCATTTTAAAGTTGCATGTCTACTGACTATTTTAAAGTTGCATGTCTACAGACCATTTCAAAAATTTACAAAAGCTTTGCCTGATCAATTATGAATTTGATATCCGTGTTTATAATTTTGAAAACTATTAGGGGCTCAAACATCACAACTTATTTAATATTAGGGGCTCAAACATCACAACTTATTTAATATTAGGGGCTTAAACATCACAACTTATTTAATATTAGGGGCTCAAAGCTTGCTTTTAATATGTTACCAATTAGTAGCTTAAGTGCCAGGCGTTGCCCGTTGAATTTAAGAAAAAAGTTTCGAAAATTGAAATAAAATAATAGTATTTTAGCCTTTGCCACCCCACGGGAACCCCTGGGTTTCCTTTAAAAAATGTCAGCCAACTTAGTCCAGCTGATTGGCCAGTTATAGCTAACATACAGGGTTACCCACAAAGAATGATGTGAAATTCTCCAGGTTAGATTTAGACTTATGTTTAAAATATAGTTTTATACAAATTTCTAAACAAGGAAGAAACAAGTTTTCAGTTGCAGTAAATGATGTATGCAAAGAAATAGAGAGTATTCATTCCGTCTCATCCTATGTGGGTAACCCTGTATACATGAACAAAGAGCTTTATAATATATATTGTTTGGTCCAGGTACTGAAGATGAGAGAGTAGCTGCTCTAGATAAATATATATTGTTTGGTCCAGGTACTGAGGAGGAGAGAGTAGCTGCTCTAGATAAATATATATTGTTTGGTCCAGGTACTGAGGATGAGAGAGTAGCTGCTCTAGATAAATATATATTGTTTGGTCCAGGTACTGAGGAGGAGAGAGTTGCTGCTCTAGATAAAATTGCTGAATCCTGTTTCCTTCAAGGAAATTATCATCTTGCTACTAAAAAATGGACTCAGGTATGCTCTAACAAAATCCATATCTCTTCAACTCTCTTCATGATCTTCGCAACCTAATGATGTCAACCTTTGATGTTTAAAACTTGATGTTTAAGTATTTGGTTTAGCAAATTGCATATTTTGATATATTAGAGGTCTAAAACATCAGGTAGGGAATATTTAGGAATTAGGAAATTACAGGTAGCAGCAATTTTGCATTTCTTATAATTCAAATAATTTTATGAAATCCAAAATAACAAAATATATCCAAAAAGGAGATGTAAGCTTGTACAGCACTTAATTCAAATGATATTTAAGATAAAAGTAGGACATCTTAAAAGACTTTCATAGTATTCAATGTAATTCTAAAAGTGTGCAAGCTAGGAGGCCTAGGTTATTTGCTAAATATTCCCAGGTATATTCCTAGAGAACGATTTTTGGCCCCCCCCGCC